CCCACGTAAAAAACCACCTTTCATTTCTTCCATGTATTATTTACTTTCCATAACTATATAAATAATAACAAAATTATCTATTACATTGCGTAATGTATGCGGATGCATGCTAACCCTACCTAAAGTTCTTGATGCCCCCCCCGAACCCCTGCCCCATCCACCCCCTTTCCCTGTCCCCTGACTGCCCCCTGCCGCCCCATCCAACCCCTCCTCTCATTCCTGATGGCCCCCTGGGACTCCTGCCCCATCCAACCACCCCTTCTCTCTGTCCCCAACTGCCCCTGGAACCCCTGTCCCTGACTGCCCTCCACCGCCCAATCCAACCCCTGCTCCTTCCTGATTGCCCCCCTGGGACCCTTGCCCCCATTCAATCCCCCTGTTCCCTGCCCTCTGACCACCCTGACCCCTATCCACCCCGCCCACAACCCCCCAAACTCCCCTGCCCTCTTCCAACACCCCCTTACCGTGCTGCCTGGAGCCGCTCGGCTGGGTCCGGGTCCGGGCTGGAGCCGCTCGGCCGGGTCAGGGTCCGGGTCCACTCGGTCCTGGCTGGGTCAGGTTCCGGGGCCGGGTCCAGGGCCGGGTCAAGGCCGGATCCTCTCGGTCCAGGCCAGGGCCGGAGCCGCTCAGCCAGGGCCGAGACCGGCACCGCGGGGTCCAAGCCAGGCCAGAACTGCTCCACCGGGCTGGGGCCGTGGGCGTTCGGCCAGGGCCAGGCCGGAGGGAGCCGCGCGCTTGGCCAGGGCTGGACTGGGCCGCACTGCGCCTCCCTGGAACCATCCTTGCGGGGGCCCATTCAGGGGAATCGGCCCCTGAGCTCTGCCTGAGTTACTGAAGGCCTCAAATCCTGATTTAAAGAGTTCATGTGACAGAGACTTTGCCATTTACACTAACTCTGCAAGTGACCTGGGCCCCACGCTGCAGAGGAAGGCAAAAAAACCCCAGTGTCTCTGCCAGACTGACCCGGGAGAAGATTCCTTCCTGACCCCTAATATGGCCATCAGTTAAACCCTGAGCATATAGGCAAGACGTGGTTGGCTGGTCTAGAGGGGGCAGCAGAAGGGAGGGAGGAAGGGACTGGCAGGTGGGTGTGGTAGTTTTCAAGTAACTATAGTGCTGAGGACATTTCAGCCTAGCAGCCCTGGTGACTGGACGCTGAGCCACTCCGGGAAGCAGCAGTGCTGTGAGTTTTCCCCACCCTCCCTCAAGCGTCAGCGGGGGTAAGAGCGGAAGAGAGAAACGGACCATCCAATCTGAGCTGTATAGCGGAGGCCACCAGCCTCAGCCAGCACCCGC